ATACAGAAACTTAAAACGTCAATTTCTCGAAATGACTTTGAGACTACATATTTTCAGCTTTTGATGCAGGGTCAAAATATATAAAAACGGCTTCATAATGTTGAAAGAAATTCTAACTTCTGACAATTATTGGCGAAGATACATCCGTTTGAATTTGGAAACAGAAACTTAAAACGTCGATTTCTCGAAATGACTTCAAGACTACATATTTTCAGCTTTTGATGCAGAATCAAAATATATAAAAAGGGCTTCATAATGTTGAAAGAAATTCTAACTGCTGACAATTATTGGCGAAGATACATCCGTTTGAATTTGGAAACCGAAACTTAAAACGTCAATTTCTCGAGATGACTTCGCGACTACATATTTTCAGCTTTTGATGCAGAGTCAAAATATATAAAAAGGGCTTCATAATGTTGAAAGAAATTCTGACTTCTGCCAATTATTGGCGAAGATACATCCGTTTGAATTTGGAAACAGAAACTTAAAACGTCAATTTCTCGAAATGACTTCGAGACTACATATTTTCAGCTTTTGATGCAGAATCAAAATATATAAAAAGGGGCTTAATAATGTTGAAAGAAATTCTAACTTCTGACAATTATTGGCGAAGATACATCCGTTTGAATTTGGAAACAGAAACTTAAAGCGTCAATTTCTCGAAATGACTTCGAGACAACATATTTTCAGCTTTTGATGCAGGGTCAAAATATATAAAAAGGGCTTCATAATGTTGAAAGAAATTCTAACTTCTGACAATTATTGGCGAAGATACATCCGTTTGAATTTGGAAACAGAAACTTAAAACGTCAATTTCTCGAAATGACTTCGAGACTACATATTTTCAGCTTTTGATGCAGAGTCAAAATATATAAAAAGGGCTTCATAATGTTGAAAGAAATTCTAACTTCTGACAATTATTGGCGAAGATACATCCGTTTGAATTTGGAAACAGAAACTTAAAACGTCAATTTCTCGAAATGACTTCGAGACTACATATTTTCAGTTTTTGATGCATAGTCAAAATATATAAAAAGGGCTTCATAATGTTGAAAGAAATTCTGACTTCTGACAATTATTGGCGAAGATACATCCGTTTGAATTTGGATACAGAAACTTAAAACTTCAATTTCTCGAAATGACTTCGAGACTACATATTTTCAGCTTTTGATGCAGGGTTGTTGGATATTTGGGGTTATGGGTGCAGGCTTACTGATCGAAACCCCGGGCCCATGACCATTAATAACACGAGGAGTTTTCTATAGAGGTTATGTTCATATAAACGTTTTAATAACTTTTCGTCGAACGCTGCGCGACCTTCTTTGCTTAATGGAATGGAACGACTAAATTACGCTAATCAATGTTCTGCTCGTCTTTACAGTGATCTGCTAAGAGACTCGCATACAGGATGTTATGGTAACTCTATGTACATTGTGCATACAGAACTATGTAAACATTGTTGCTTTAACATATTATTATACTATTCGCGATAATAACAATACGCTCCCTTAAAGTAACAATACTCTTAACTTAAATATATGTAACTCCCAAACTCGAAATGCATTCGCGATGTTTGGTCCCGCTCAGACCTTACGTCAGGACGTCTGCTGGCATCTGTTCTGTTTGCATATACTCCACTTCATGTCGCCGCTCAGGTATTTTTGCTTGATGAAGTGGTGGCGTACATCTATATGTTTTGTACGCGGGTGAAACCCGAAGCCAGTAACCAGTTTTTGTGCGCTCTGATTGTCATTATAAAGACGCACCGTGGCGCAGTCTTTGCCAACACTGTTTAGTAGGGTCTTCAGATATAATGCCTCCTTGACCACTTCGGACATCGCAAGGTACTCCGACTCAGTACTCGATAGTGCCACAGTACGTTGCTTGCGTGCCTCCCAGCACACAGCTGCTCCAGATAGTATGAACGCCTGCCCTGAATAGGAGCGCCTATCGCTTAGATTCGCTCCCCAATCTGCATCGACCACGCCTGTTTGCTTGTATAACAGGCCCAATTTCTTTGTACCGCTTAGATACCTCAATATGCGTTTCGCTGCCTTCCAGTGCTCGACATTGTAATTGCTGTTGAACTGACTCATAAAGTTCACAGCAAACGCAATATCCGGGCGTGTCGTAACTGAAAGAAACATTAAAGCACCAATTAAGCTTTGATAACGATACTTTCGCATTTCGCCTTCGTCGATAATCTCACGACGCTTCTGTACACTTTGCCTCGATTGGTGTCAATGCAGCTTGCATTTGATCATGCCAAATTTCTTCAATATGGCACCAACATATAGTTCCTGTGAAATGAATATCCAGTGCTTGTCTATGCTCTGCTTAAATTGTATGCCTAGGCAAGTCCTCACTTTGCCGATATCCTTCATCTCAAAAGCATTGCAGAGATCTGCCTTAATATTTTCCATCCACGTAGGGTCATTTGATGCTAACAATAAGTCATCAACGTATATCGTGATAAGCAGAGTTTTGCTCCCTTGTCTCCTTACAAATAATCATGGGTCCTGTTTGGTGGGCTCCAATCCACTCTCCAGTAATTTAGTGGTCAACTTGTGGTACCAACGTAGGCCAGATTGCCGCAGTCCATAAAGGGCCTTCCGTATTAGACAAACAGGATTCTTGGATTTGCTTATTCCTTTCCGCCAAGCTGCAGCGGCTTTTAGATATGCCGCTCCTTGAGGGGTGCCCCTTGTTCCGATCGGTGATCCTGATTCTAACTTTTCCATGAAGTCGGTAAATCCCTCTGGTATATCCATGAAAACGCTCTCTTCGAGCTCTCCATTTAAATATGCCGTAACCACATCCATTTGGTGGATTTCCATGTCAGCTTCTACTGCTAATGATATAAGCAGTCTGACCGATGTAAATCGTACCTCGGGTGAATAAGTGTCATGATAATCTTCTCCTGGTCGCTGAGCGTATCCCTTGGCCACCAGACGCACTTTCTTCTTGCCTGCAGCGCTGCCGTCATCCTTTGTGCGAAATACCATTCTGTTGCCGATAACTTTACGATCGGCTGGTCGTTCTACGAGGTCCTACGTTTCATTTAGCACTTGAGCTAAAAACTCGTCCTCGATTGCTTTAGTCCACGCGTCTGCTTCCTTAGAATTTTTAGCTTCTTGCAACGTAGACCGTCTACGCATGTAAAAGCCATTTCGCGCTCCTCAATGATGTCATCCTCTGCCTTGGCGTCTCCCGCCTCATCATTGCTGCTGCTGCTGCATCGTACCTCTTTGTACAATTTTCGTGGCCTTCCGCGTTGACCCGTCCGAATAGTTTTTGGACGCCCCCGACCACGTCGCGGATTGTGTAGTTCTTGCTTCTCCTCTTCGGATTCGTCCATCGCATCCTCACAGTGCTCACTTGGCTCATTTGTTGTGATGACGACGTCAATGTCTTCTTTGCCATAGAATTCTTCATATTTCGCTTTGAAACCTGGAATATCCAAGAATTTTACATCGTTAGATATGATCACCTTGTGCCTTTCCGGCACGTATAACCGATACGCTTTCGAGCTTGTTGCGTATCCCAGCAGAATGCACTCTTCAGATCTGGAATCGAATTTGCCTTTCTTGACGCCTTTCTCAAGCGCAAATGCCTTTGCGCCAAACGTTCGCATGTAGGCCAGAGTCGGGATCTTATTTGTCCACATGGTGTAGGGAATCCCTCCAGATAGTCCTTTCGTTGGGCACCTGTTGCGAATGTAGCAAGCTGTGTTTACAGCTTCTGCCCAAAACATTGGAGGCGCTCCCGCTTGTCTCATCATCCACCTAGCCATTTCCACAAGAGTTCTGTTTTGCTTCTCTGCCAATCCGTTTTGCTGCGGCGTATATGGGGCACTAAGCCTACGCCGGATGCCATGCTTCTTCAGATAGTTATCAAACTCCACGTTGCAATATTCGGTTCCGTTGTCCGATTGTAGTGCTTTTATTTTCCTTCCGGTGAAGTTTTCCACTTCTGCTTTATATTGCTTGAACATTTTAAACACCTCAGATTTTTGTTTAAGGAAATATATCTCGCAATATCTTGACTGATCATCGATAAAGGTTACATAATATCTGTAACCACTCATGGACTCTTTCCTCATTGGCCCGCACACGTCGCTGTGTATAATTTCGAGCAAATCAGTCGTTCTCTTATCAGTTGTAGTTTTATAAGTTTTTGTAGTTTGTTTCTCAGTTATACATACTTCACATTTCGACAACTTTTCGTTGTCTTTGACATTCATACCGTAAACTATGCCGCTTTTCGCCAGGCTCTTTAAATCTCCTTCGTTTAAGTGTCCCATGCGGTAATGCCACATGTCAATATTCTTTTGACTGCGCCCTTCTATGCTGTTTGCTTGGATCCGCTCACTGTCCAAGTAGTATAGGTTTCCATATCTTTTTGCACGCAACCAAACCATATTATTGTTTTTCATTATCAACGCATCGTTTTTTCTGAAATGGACCTCGTAACCTCTGTCTGTGATCTTTGCGATCGACAGCAGACTTTGTCTCAGATCGGGCACACAAAGCACTTCACTCAGAGTTACATTCTCTTTTGTTTGATTTTCTTCAACTGCGATTCGTACATCACCGACTCCACTGATATGTGTCGTTTCATTGTTTGCCAAACGCAATGTCTTTTCGATCATTGCGATATTTTCAAAGGAATCCACATTTGAAGTCATATGCGCCGTACATCCACTGTCTAGGCACCACATACCAACTTTATTTACACAGAAATTGGTCTCTCTTTGCTCTCTCTCTTTGGTTCTCTGGCTCTTCGCCTTTGCCTTTTGCCTTGTTACGACAGTTGCGCGCTATATGTCCCGTTTTATTGCAAGTAAAACATTTTCTGTTCTCTCGCATTTTTGTCGGCTTATCGCGTTTACCGTTTTGTCGGTGAGCGAACATTACGTTTTGTTCTTCACGTTCACACTTAGTTTTGCGCGCATTTACTTCTTCTAGTATTTTTACTTTTAGAACATCTGACCTTGGAAGATCATCTCTTGCTTCCATTGCGCACCGAAACGTTTCGTATGATTCGGGCAAACTGTAAAGCAGCAGTATGCTGAGCAAATCATCGCCCATTGTCACGCCAATTTCTCTGAGTTGCTTCACAGCCTCGAAGAACTCGTACACATGTTGGCGCGCATTGCCATCTTCACTTAGCCGCGACAATGCGATTTTCTTCAGGAGAGATGCTTTCCGCACTGATCCTCTTGATTGAAATGTTTCCCTAAGCTTTGTCCAGCAGTTGGCAGCTGACGTACATCCTTCAATTACGGCCAATTCGGATGGCCTAATCGCCAACACTATATCCGCACGTGCTTTTTCGTCATACGTTTTCCATACGGCGGAGTCGTTCCCGTCCGTGAGAGGGCACTTCTTAGTGCCGTCCACGTACTGCCATAGGTCGTTCTTCACTAGTACGGCTTGCATTTGTAATTTCCATGTATCGTAATTTTCTGCGCACAGTGGTTCTATTTTTATAAAGGCACTCATTTTTTCACTTTTGGCATTTATAACCTATTGTTCTCAAGTGATTATTATAATTTTCCGCGCAGTGGAAGCGTGCTGGGCCCATAACCTGTTGGATATTTGGGGTTATGGGTGCAGGCTTACTGATCGAAACACCGGGCCCATGACCATTAATAACACGAGGAGTTTTCTATAGAGGTTATGTTCATATAAACGTTTTAATAACTTTTCGTCGAGCGCTGCGCGACCTTCTTTGCTTAATGGAATGGAACGACTAAATTACGCTAATCAATGTTCTGCTCGTCTTTACAGTGATCTGCTAAGAGACTCGCATACAGGATGTTATGGTAACTCTATGTACATTGTGCATACAGAACTATGTAAACATTGTTGCTTTAACATATTATTATACTATTCGCGATAATAACAATAAGGGTCAAAATATATAAAAACGGCTTCATAATGTTGAAAGAAATTCTAACTGCTGACAATTATTGGCGAAGATACATCCGTTTGAATTTGGATACAGAAACTTAAAACGTCAATTTCTCGAAATGACTTCGCGACTACATATTTTCAGCTTTTGATGCAGAGTCATAATATATAAAAAGGGCTTCATAACGTTGAAAGAAATTCTAACTTCTGACAATTATTGGCGAAGATACATCCGTTTGAATTTGGAAACAGAAACTTAAAACGTCAATTTCGCGAAATGACTTCGAGACTACATATTTTCAGCTTTTGATGCAGAGTCAAAATATATAAAAAGGGCTTCATAATGTTGAAAGAAATTCTAACTTCTGACAATTATTGGCGAATATACATCCGTTTGAATTTGGAAACAGAAACTTAAAACGTCAATTTCTCGAAATGACTTCGAGACTACATATTTTCAGCTTTTGATGCAGAATCAAAATATATAAAAAGGGCTTCATAATGTTGAAAGAAATTCTAACTTCTGACAATTGTTGGCGAAGATACATCCGTTTGAATTTGGAAACAGAAACTTAAAACGTCAATTTCTCGAAATGACTTCGAGACTACATATTTTCAGCTTTTGATGCAGGGTCAAAATATATAAAAAGGGCTTCATAATGTTGAAAGAAATTCTAACTTCTGACAATTATTGGCGAAGATACATCCGTTTGAATTTGGAAACACAAACTTAAAACGTCAATTTCTCGAAATGACTTCGAGACTACATATTTTCAGCTTTTGATGCAGAATCAAAATATATAAAAAGGGCTTCATAATGTTGAAAGAAATTCTAACTGCTGACAATTATTGGCGAAGATACATCCGTTTGAATTTGGAAACCGAAACTTAAAACGTCAATTTCTCGAAATGACTTCGCGACTACATATTTTCAGCTTTTGATGCAGAGTCAAAATATATAAAAAGGGCTTCATAATGTTGAAAGAAATTCTAACTTCTGACAATTATTGGCGAAGATACATCCGTTTGAATTTGGAAACAGAAACTTAAAACGTCGATTTCTCGAAATGACTTCAAGACTACATATTTTCAGCTTTTGATGCAGAATCAAAATATATAAAAAGGGCTTCATAATGTTGAAAGGAATTCTAACTTCTGACAATTATTGGCGAAGGTACATC